TGGAGACAAAGCTGAAACTGATTCTGTAGCACTGAAAAACCTGAGATGCTAGCTCTGGTGACTACAGGGTTAAAATCACTGGTGAGGGGAGAACAAGAGTGTACCAGCCCTGCTTTGAGAGTAAGGGACTGTTCTAAAAACTAAAGTAGCAGAATGAACTGTTTCAGCACCTCTGCTCAGTTTGTCCTGACATTCCTGTAAGAATTGCATCAGGCTGGTTTCGTTAAGGTTCATGGTAGAAAACCATTGGAACTGAGGCTGGAGGAGGAACCTCTCAGTCTGTACTGCTGGGCAGTCCTGCATGCTTAGTGCTGTAATTCACTTCTCTGGAATGTTTCCCAGTGTCTGTGTAAAACTCTTGCATTACAGCTTCATTATGTGTAAAATGTGCTGAGGCTGGCTGGAATGAGGAGTGTGGAGCTAGGGAGCCGAGTGGTGGAGGAGGAGAAGTGGCGGGAGAGCTCTGGGTGTATGAGAAGAACGTGACTCCTTGCCCTAAACCCACAGAGGCCTAGGTGAGGCTGGTCTCCGTGGCCTCTGATATTTGGCTGTGTGGTCGTAGACAACGGCATACCCTGGCTGGTGAATTTTATTAGCTTTGTGTGGCAATACAAGGTAAATACGGCAACATGCAGCTCTCATGGTTTTTTTGTGTAAGTCTCTGTGTGGCACTAAGGACACTGGCTTTTTCTTGGTGTGCAGATTTCTCTGCTCAGTGTATTCTTTGACAGGGTTTTGTTGGAAGCTATGGGAGAAAATACCCTCAGTAAAGTGAGGAGAGAGGTGCATCCCTGGCCTAGAGTTAGCAAGGATCTGAAAGGGATTTTGAAGAACAATAAGCCCTCAGCTACTTTTGTCCCATGCTGCAAGAGAAATGCAAGTAATTGCAGTCCTAACCAGTGCACAGTGAGGGTCTCAACTTGGACTTCATCCTTGCAGACTGCAAGTTTGTGACTCCTGCAGCAGATGCTCCCATATCCATATCTAGTATGTACTGACTTGCTAGGTGGACGCCAGCGTGTCAGACTTTGGTGTGGCAACTCTGCTTTAGCAGTTAAAAATAATTATCCCGTTAGCCTTTGCATTCTAAGAATTAATCTGGGTCTGTGTTTTCTAAAAGCTTCTAAAACTTAGCTTCAGATCAACATCTAAATGTCCCTGGGCTTTTTCTCCCTGCTGGAAAGAACAGCGTTGCACATTGCGTTTTACAGCTGTGAAAGCCGTGGGATGCTTTGCAGTCAAACTTTCTGATTTGCAAATGACTCTTGTTTATTAGACCCAAGTATCTTTTCAAACTTTTGTGTCCCAGGGTGTGACTGTGCAAAATAAGAATTCATAAAGGAAACTGTCTGACAGTAATTACTTTTGAAATGCTGTAGTCATTGGAGTGTTTTACATGGCATAATTTAAATTTAACTGTAACCTAAACGTTGCTCGTACTTGGCCATGCAAGTGTGCTTGGCAGGAAGTGGTAGAACATGCCACCGGGCTTGTTGTACAAATGTTTGCAGCTCACCACTTCCTGTTACTGAAGTGAAAGAAAAAAAGAAACACCAGTTTCTGGTTCATTTTAGCCTCTAAAAAGTTGCAGCTGCATTTGTTAAACTTCTTAGTATTGTACAGAGGTATTTATGGCCTTCCCCTTTATATTCTTCTTTTAGCTTTGAAATTCATCTTTATTTGAGTGTTTTGGTGAAGTTCCTACTAGAAATCTGAGTTCCAAGAAGGTATTTTTTGTGTAGATCCTGAGTTTTAGAAGTGACCAAAGGAATGGTTGTATAGGATTGCCGTGGATTGGTGTACGTAGATGTCAAACTGCAGCAGGAGCTTGCTTTGTCAGGAGACTGTCCCTGCAGGAGGTGCTGGTGTGTCTTAGCTTCAGTAGTTGACAGTACGTACAGAGGCAGCTTTACGCCACAGTACTCTCTGAACCTAGTTTTCCTGGTAGTTGTTATAATTCCAAGACTTCAGGCCTAGACACAAAGGAGCTTTTAAAACTGATTTAATTTGCTGTTGTCTGTGGTACAAGAATACCCTTTCCAGGAAAATCTGATTTGTGCTTTATAACCTTTGAGGCCAAAAGGAAATCTGTTTGGAACAAAGGTCGTCTGTTTTCAGACCTGAATACAATTACCTGTGATTTCAGGAGGCATTGCACCGAGTGAGGAGAAAAATCTTTATAAGAAGGGAGACATGAAATCGTATCAAATGTAAATGGAAACACTTGCCAAACTTCTGTTACATATAAAGATTTTTTTAAAGTACGCATCATTCTTATGTCATTTTTACAATCGTGAATTAATTAAAGTATCTTTTTGCCGGTAAATCTACTAGTGAATCTTGGCAAATTGCAATTGTAGCAGTAGTCATAGCATTTTAAATTAATGCAATTAATTTCATATGCTGTTAAAAGTGCTGATGTGCTATTTCTGCTCATAATTTGTATTCTAACTAATGGGCTAAACTACATACCCATAGCACATCAAGATTAAGTGGCTGAAACTTGGTATTTTCAGTATATTAAAATATTAATATCTCATGTGAGAAGAATGAAAGTCAGATAGTTAATGAAAGTCCATATTTCATATATTCAAATGCTACTGTAGTATATTAAAAAATCCCATAGCTTCCTGTTTAAGTGATGGATGAATTCTTAAAGCTAGAAGCGGCATTTTCCCTAATTAAGATACTGTTGATAATTGTGACTTAAATTAAATCTGAGGAAAGGAGAAATTAAATTAAATAACCTACCCTGCCCCCCCAAAATCTCAAGTTACAAACTGTGACTAAATATCAAGTAACTATTTAAGATTCAGTGAAGAAAAAATGGACCATTAGTTTCAAAGCAGATTAATTGGGGGTTACCTGGAGTGGCTGTCCTGGGATTCAGAAATCTGGCAGACATGTGGTGGGACTTGAGCAGTCTCAGTTCGAGCTGTGTTATAGTATAGGTTTAGAGATGTGAAAGCCGAAGTAGTCCAGGGTAAAGGCTGGTTTGTTTGGAAATCTTGGCTTTGATTCATAGATCCATTTGATCCCTCTAAACCTTACAAAACATTATTAAGCCCTTCTGAGTTAATTTGGTTTTTTTTCCACCCATGGCTTAGAATCTGTCTTCAAAATCAGTCTTGGAACTGCTGGGTACTATATGGAAGTGTAAGGTGGGGAAAGGAGACAAATGTTTTTTTGATCCCTTTTGGAGCTTCCTAGAAAAGCTAAGTTACTCCTAAACTGGTGTTCTTGAAAAAAGTCCCATGTGTGATCTGCTGCAGCCACCTTCAGTAACTATCTTTATAGTTTTTTTCTCCTATGATGCTTTCCCATTTACTGTGATGTCTGGTGAGGTTGCATTAAACATCAGTTTTCAGAAGTAGACGCCAGTTTTGAAAAGGAACTAAAGGGTCATGGTACGTATTTTTTCCTCAGAGCCAGCAGAGGTTCTAGGGAATTGACTTGAACTGCAGGGGCTAGTCAAAGGTTCAGAAAAATATATGTTCAAACTAGTGACTTTATTGGTGTGAGATTGAAGAATTCTGAGATTAAATCCTCTTCTCATAATCTAGACTAACTCTAGTAGTGAGTCTGAGTTTGGTCTGTTTTCATTGTGTGGAATAATTTATCCCTGACATGTTGGATGCAGTTGAAAACCTTTGTGCTTCCTCAGCACTTTCTAGTTTTTAGGAGAAATTACAACTTCAGAAAAATTCTTTTGCTTAAGTTTGCTCTTACCAAATTGTCAAAAGGAAACTGAATACTTCCTTTTCATTTATTGCAAAACTTAGAGTATCCCTTTCTCTGGCAGGAATCGACTTTAAGATCAGAACAATAGAATTAGATGGAAAGAAAATCAAGCTACAAATATGGTAAGTATTCCAAAGTAATTTAAGTTTTCAGTGAGTATTGAATATAATCTTTCATAGTTTTTAAGGCTGAGTGTGCCAGAAGCTTCATACCTTTTGTTCATTGACGGTCCATAAGGTTTATGCTCTCTTCCAGCTTGTTCTTGAGTGGCTCTGCCTCAGTAGCACAGGAAATGGCCTGTTCACGTGTGAACGTTGTAGCGACTTCCCATTTTGTCAAAAGCTGTTCTCTTAAGTGCACTTTTAGCTATTCCATGTGGAAGAGAAGTATTAACTCCATAGCTGTAAACTTAAAATATGTGACCTAATAAAACGTAATCTCTGATACTTAGATACCTGGTTGTACTCCCAGGGGCGCAGGTGAGGGATAGCGCTCCCATTCCTTGCATGCTGAGTTAGGAGAGACTGTGCCTCCTGATAGCAGCAGATGAGTATTTTTGGAGTAACATTACTACACATGCCAAACTCTTAAAATGCTACTGGTGAGTGTAGGGCTCTTGCTGATTTTTCAGGTCATAGAAAAGATGGTTATGATACTTGCATGTGAGCCAGAATCCTTGTGACTAAGGAAGTGAAGTGCCAGAAGTGGTTGGTACAGATTTTCTGTCTGTAATGTAAGTCAAAGCAGCTGTTTTTTGTTGGGCCTTTGGGGTCCAGCTCCCCCTTTGGGAGGAGGACACTTTGGTCCTCTTGTTCACTCACAGACAAATACTGCTTTGAAGTCGCCTGGGATGAAATACCAGCACACTAAGGTGTAACGGCTGGTTTCAGTAGCTGTCTGTCCATGAAAATGCACTATCCTGAAATATTTTACTGATACATGTTTTAGTTTTTGTTGAAGGCAGGACTTAAATGCATCAGAGCTGCCTTTTTTATTATTCTAGGGAAGGCTGTGTAGCACTGAGTTTTATTGCTTACATGCAAAATTAAATGCCTTTGTGCCATATTCATGGTGCTGCTATAGCCACTGATGTAAGTAGGATATCTTGGGAGTGAGGAAGGGTTGAAGGCTGAAGAAATTTGTGCAAACAGCTTATAAATGGTATTTTTTCTTAATGAGTGAGCATTGACACATTGTTACTCTGTTTAAAAAGAGATCTCTACCTACAGAATTGTGTAAAGATCACCTGCAACTAATACTTGTTTTCACTGAATTGTAGGGATACAGCAGGCCAGGAGAGATTCCGCACAATCACGACCGCTTACTACAGAGGAGCCATGGTGAGTGTGCTCACTTCAAACAAGTTAGGCACAACTAGTGTAACTGGTTTGCTGGTCTTGAGGTTATATCATGCAATTCTTTAACTGGAGGATTGGATAATTGTGGCTTGAGATGCGACGAATAAAGTTTGTGGTTTGGTTGGGGGTTTTTTGTTTTGTGGGGTTTTTTTGTTTTTCATTTTTAAACCTGCTGGTACTTTGTCTGGTCCTGTTTTTGTGATGAAACTTCAAGCCCTATTGTCTTTTTAGTATAATTAAAATTTCTGCAGATTATAACAAGAAGCTAAGTTGACAAACTTTAATCAGACAAGTTTTTTTCAATGCAGTCAACTCCTTTAAACATTTTAAATGTTTGAAAAATAGGTAATAGATGATTTTAATATTAAAAGTGTAGTTCACTGAGTTGCTTTTCCTTCAGCCAGTGGAGAATGCAAAATCTGGGATAGAAATACAATCACATACTAAAGCCACTGTTACTTTCTCCTCCAGTAGGAGTGATTTGAAGTCAAATGACTGACTTAGAGTCTGCACTCTTTGTGGTGCAACTGCTTGTGATGGTTCTTAATGCTATGATTTGAGATACTTTGTTGGGACACTGTCAGTTTCAACTTGCTGATTACTAGCTACGCTGCTACTGCATGTTCTTATCACTCTGTATGAACAGATCAGTTCCATTCATAGGCTGTCTCTGGGTCCAGATAACTCCACTGTTACAGAATACAAAAGGGGAGAAATAGTAATGGTTGTGGCTCTGTGTTAGAGCTTTCTAGTATTTACAAAGGTTTGAGCCTCCTAATCCATGGCCAAGGACTTTTCTTTGTCCTGCAAGGAATGATTGGAAAGGCAGTAAGGAACGGAGGTGAACCTGGCAATCTGTCCTTAATGCAGCTGTTGTGTGGTTTCCCATGCTTTGCTAATTGTTGAGAGCCCACGCTAGTATGTGTACATAGCTGTCTGAAAGAGCTAAAGCTTCTGGGAGAGCACCTAGTGTCAGCTTTGCTGTCAGGATCTGCTGGCCCCCGCAGATTGGATCTCACAGGTTTGTCATCTTTGACTGCTTAGAGCTGCTGCTTCTAAACTTGACTTTAACAATAGAGTCCCGGTTGCTGTTGTAGAAGAATTACTAAACTTTTCCTGACTATGGGCTAATAATGTAAAACTTCATGTGGGGCGTGTGTTTGACCTCTAACAGTGGCAAAAGATGTTAAATAGTAATATTTTGGGTGAATTCTCAGCAAATGCTTTGAGAAAGGATTGTAGGTGCATTAGTCATATGTTTAATTTCTTGCGAGTATAATCAAACCAACAACATGCATTAGAGGTCAACCAATAGTGCTAGCTCATCTAACTAGATTTACTTAATTTTATTTAGGGAATTATGCTGGTGTATGACATCACAAATGAAAAGTCCTTTGACAACATAAAAAACTGGATAAGAAACATAGAGGAGGTAGGTACTTTGGAAAGTGCTTCTTACTCCTTCCTTCTCATTATTTCCTTGGGACAAATAATAATCAAGTCATTATTCACTTTCATTATAGTAACCAGCATATATGGCCAAGTTAGACTGCAGTGAGGGTAACAACAGTGGTTATCAGTGGGGAGAAGATTATCTCATTCATCTAGGGCTAGAAGGTAGAAAACTTAAGTTGAAAAAGTAAGCATAAAGTGTTTCAAAACTGCTTTTACTATATGACTGTTATTGTTCTTTTTTGCTTTTGGGTGTGTCTAAGGAATGGGAAAGAGCAACATCTTAGGGTATCTGCCTTTCACTAAAATTATGACCAATCTAATTCCAGTTGTTACTGTGTTGTGTGTTTGTCCAATTAGAGATTTTTGACCTTTTCATTTGGTTTTGGGTAAGCTTTCTTCCTGCTAACTTATTTTAAATTATTTAATGGGATGTGCTGTCAGGTAGGGATAGGTCTTTATTAAGTGAGACTAGGAAGCTTAATTTTAGTGAAGCTTTAGTGAGGTAACAAAATCTTACTGTTTGGGTTTTTTTTCCTTAAACATAAAATCCATGGGCTTTTCTTCAGCATTGTTCTTTGGCTTTTCAGCAAAATTCCTGTATTAGTGACCAGTTTGATACAATAGCGACGGGGCTAGAAAAGTCTCATTGTGAACTTCTCTTGCTGAAGTGATTGTTACTTAAAAGGTCTTTTATTAATAATTATTTTAAAAATGCAAATGTATTGCATAATGGTATTCCAACCAAATGCCCTAGATGTCCATGCACCACTTTGAAGTCAAGTGTGTACTGTAGCATTTCCAGAATAGCCAAGTGCTTATGTGTGTGAGCAGCCTGGTACAGAGCCTATGGCACTGTATTTGGTCTATAATAATACTCCGGCAAATTTAATGTAGGAGTATTTATTCCAACCTAGTTTAATATTTAAATATTAAATTGCCTGTTCCAAAAGTCAGTCTGTTTCTCAGTAATGCCTTCACATTAGATAACTTTTTAAAAATAAAATATTAATTTGTGGATGAGTTTGACACATAAGTTTATTTTAAATAATGATGGACTTTGTTTCTGAGACATCACTCTTTCTTCTTTCAGCATGCCTCTTCAGATGTAGAAAGAATGATCCTGGGTAACAAATGCGATATGAATGAAAAAAGACAAGTCTCAAAAGAAAAAGGGGAGAAGGTAAGCTTTGGTGCCTTACCTTACTTAGAAGCCTACTTTTCGTAGGATTTTGGCTGCTGCATATTTGCTATGTTTCAGACATATTAGTGAATAATTCGCCTCAAACCTCTTGTTTCAGAAACTTTTATATATTACAGGATGCCAGGTTTGGGTTTTTTGTTTTTAAGTAGCACTTGACTGTCTTCAAGTTTGAATAAACTTAATGGAGGGGAAGATCCTGTAAAGAATGTTGACCTTTGCTATAGCATATAGTATTCTAAATGTCAGTATAAATCTTTGTATATGATTTGATCATGTTGAACTCAATTTACCATGGTGGTTACTTACTCTTGTCATAAGTACTGCTATTAAAGCATAAATAATTAGTTCTGCAGAACAAGCAAGTAAGAATACTATACAATCTATGATGTACACAGCTAAAGTAGTGTAGTTGCTAGCAGCATAACTTACGGGTTGATTGTGTGTGGTTATCTGGTCCATAAATCCCTATCAAGGAGGATTCTATGTTAATGTTCTTTTAGGTCCTAAATAAATCTTTTTGTGAGCAATTAATCCTTCGGGTTTGAATTTACATTAGGATATAGGCTGTTCTCATATTCTGTCTAATTTTCCAGTGACTTTAATGTTTTTTCAAGAGAAAAGCAGAAATCAAGCTTATTTGGTTTTGTTTTCAAAGCTTGCCGCAGCATACAACACCTATTCTGTTATGAACCTATGTGAAACATTCCTTTTACAAAGGAACTTCAAAAACACTGAAAAACTTTAACTTCTCTTCCAGCTAGCAATTGATTATGGAATCAAATTTTTGGAGACAAGTGCAAAATCCAGCATCAATGTGGAAGAGGTAAGAGATGGGTGTTATGCTTAGGGGTGTTTCTTGAGCTACTACTACAGAGACACGTTTCATGATCTGCTGGGCTTTCTGACCTGCTCTGGGACCTGAAGTCCCAACTGTGGTCCTGGATCACCAACCTTATTGTATTTAGAGAGCTACTGTAAAATCTAGCATTTCTTGTTTTCTGGTAATGTCTGGAATTGTTTTTTAAATGGGTGTTAACAGAGTGATTTAGTATTATTGTAGCAAATAGTTGCTTTAGACTTCTGTGCCTTGTTACTGAAATCGCAAGTCCTTTTGGACAGGCACTAGGTATAACTTTAGAACTATACTTTGTGCAGGAAATTGGATTCAAGGTTCTTTACTTTCAGAATAACACACTACTGTATCGAGGAGCCTTCAGGTTACTGCTAAATATGTGCTATGCAGTTGGGACTGAAGGTTTCTGTGTTAACCTGGAACATCAGCATAGACTGTCATAAGCTGATGTTAGAGGAGGAAGAAGGCTTATAATACTCTTGAAATATGTTTTCCTGCAAGTAAATTTTGCGCTAAAAACACAAGATCCCTGTTTATGAGGGTATTAGGAAATGGAATCAGAAGAAAGAGTGGCTTGACTCCGGTCTATCTCAGCCTGAATGAGACAGTTGGGGTGGTTGAGCCTGGAGAAGAGCAGGCTCTGGGGAGACCTTCCAGCACTTTCCAGTACTTAGGGGAGGGACTCTTGATCAGGGATTGTAGTGATAGGATGAGGGGTAATGGTTTTAAGATGAAAGAGGGGAGATTTAGATTAGATATTAGGAAGAATTCTGTACTCTGAGTGGTGAGGCAGCGGCCCAGGTTGCCCAGAGAAGCTGTGGATGCCCCATCCCTGGAGGGGTTCAAGGCCAGGCTGGATGAGGCTGTGAGCAACCTGGGCTAGTGGGAAGTGTCCCTGACCATGGCAAGGGGGTTGGAACTCAATAAGGTTCCTTCCAACCCAAACCATTCCATGATTCTATGAGCGACTCTTGTCATCTCAGGGAGGGTGGTGTTTTTTAACTATGAAAAGCATGGACAAGATAATAATTGGGTATTGAAAGGCAGTTACATTAAGATTCATTTGTTCAGGTAAGACAAACTTGTTCTTAAATGTTGTTCCTGTGCCTAATCATCTAAAAGCTTTTCCATGTGTATTGATGGGATACTTTTTTAAAAGTCCTCCAAACACATACTTAATTCAGCTCATGCAGCTAACAAATTAACTAGAAATTAAAGAGATTCTTACTTTAAAATAACATGACTGATGCTGTGCCAGCCAAGCAGGGCTTTTTCTGATTGCAGGATGATTGTTCTACAACATAGTCAGAATGAGCTTATTTGCATTGTGCTGCATCTGGAATAGTGCCTGACCTGATTTTCACAGTGTCGTTACGATTCTTACAGCAGAAAATGGAAGTGTGAACATTAGCAGCTAATGCCAATGGTGGCTAGCAATAATGTCCTAATAAAAAGTGCCTGTCTTCTTCATTAGTTCCTCCAGACTTGCTCTTTCATGACACGTCCTGCAATTTCATTTTAACTTCTGTAGGTCATTAAGTGTACATTAGTTTGTGCTTCCTCCAAACAGCTTGGCTATCTGAATATTTTTTAAGTTGTCACATGAATGGTGAAGGAAGCATTAAAAAATGCAGGTGGTATAGGCATTCAGCAAGTAACAATTTAGTAATCTTTCTACCAAATGCTTAACTTGTGGGAAATGACACAAGTGTGATATTCTTGTGATCAGAAATTAATTAATTTGTGGTAATTTTTTGCATTAAATGCCTGTCTTTGGCTGTATTCCAAACACAATGAGAGGGGGAGTGTTTACAGGTTTTTTTACTCTCTGGAACTGTCCTTGGATTGTTGAGATCTCCAGATAGCCTAAAATCTTGCTTTTCCCTGCTTCTGGAGAATTGCAGAGTTTTTCTGCTCCAGAAGTTTCTTTGCTCCTTCATAAATTGAAGCCTGAGATTTCCCAGAGTGATTTCTTTTTTTTTCTTTTTTTTTTTTAGAGGGGATGTTGGAAGCGTAAATAACATTATAGAAAGCCCAGGAGCAAAACTTTCAGAGGACAGAAACCAAGCTAACCTTAATATGAATTCCCAGGCATATCATCCTCAAACCTCTCTCTGGGTTTCCAGTTGTGATGCACAGTAGTTTGGCCAAAAAAAAAAACAAACAAAAAAAAGCTATTAGTGTATACAGCCTTCTCTTCAGCAGATGTTTTGGGGGTTTTTTTGTGTTGTGTTTTTTTGGTTTTGGTTGGTTTTTGTTTTTTTGTTTTTTTGTTTTTTTTTTTTGCCCAAGAGGTATGCGATGGGAAAGTCTGTTCACTTTTTTCCAAATATTGGAGGGGTGTAGACAAAAAATAAATATTTTTTTGATCTAAAGCATGCTTGTTGCAGTTCTAAGTAAACAGCTGTTGTACATAGAGCGCCTTGCAACTCACTAGCAGTGGCCTACAGAATGCTGTATTGTTGATGTGTCTGGCTACTCCAAAACTATCTTGTCTTTAATGTGTCTTGTGACTAACTGTCTCTTTTTTTTTTTATTTCAACTTGTCACCAGGCATTTTTCACACTTGCACGGGACATTATGACAAAGCTCAACAGAAAAATGGTTTGTATTTCCAGTTGGCATACAAACTAGATACATTGAAATGACTCCTCTGTAATAGGCTGAGGAGTAGCCCTACCAAAAACTTCCTGGGCAATACAGTGGGTGCTAGATCAAGTTGAAACAGAGAGTGCTTTATCATACTTTGTTACACATCAATGTGTTAATTGTTCTTTATTTTGCACAAACATTAACATTGGGCAGCCTGAAATGGATGTGTTCTTTCGAAATATAACGGTGCAATCCTTGCTTTATTAAACGTCAAATTACCTAGTCACTTCAGCTAATACTTGAGATCTGGATTGCTGGATAAATGTTTCTTTTAAAAATAGGCAGTTTTATTGAGTGATTAACAGAGTCTGGATAACTGAGGAGCTCAGATCTCTGATAATTGAGATGCAACAGATCTCTGCTCTGGTTGTTGCTTTGCGAGGCAGGGGAAGTAAGGAGGGAAACTAGGAAAGCTGGACTTATTTTTTCTGCATCATATGATGTTAGTACTCCTTTCTCTTTCAGAATGACAACAGTTCATCAGGGGCAGGTGGGCCAGTAAAAATAACAGAAAATCGATCTAAGAAGAGCAGCTTCTTTCGATGCACGCTACTTTGATGAACTTCTAATGATAGACTGCAGCACACTTAGAACCTTTTCTGCTTCTTTGAAAGCACAGGGTCACAAAGCCTCAGAAATAATACCACCAAGCTGCTGCTGAGAGCTCCATTGAACGTAGACTGCGATACACAAAATACCAAGTGGATTTTGCTCACTAAGCCTATTGACCTGTCAGGCTCTTCTTTCTCAGATATGGAAGCTATGAAGTGGAGACACAAATGCAAGAGTTAACTTGTTTTCCTTTTTTACTTGCTGTTTTATTGCCTGTTGCAAAAGCTGCTATGTTTCTTTTAACTTTGCACATCCATATTGGCCTCTTACTGCCTGTTACAGCACAATCTTACATTTGTATTTGCACAGTTTGACTTGTAAGTAAGATTCTTAACAGATTTGTGCAGGTTTTTCTTTTTCTTTTTAAACAAATTTATTTTCAAGCAGAAGAGCCAGGGAAAAATTAAGTCTCACTTCCATTATTTCCTATGCTGTGTACTGGTGGCCAGGACTACAGTATGGATGTTGACATTCTAGAGATGAGAATTACTGTAACAATTGGCATGTAAAAATTTGTATGGGTTTTGTCTCTTAGATGCACAAATCTGTTCATGCAGAAGCTATGGCTTCTCTTCTGAATGTAGTATGTTGCTTTTCTTTCTTTACCAGATTTAGCAAAGTTGTGTTCTGAGTTGCCAGTCACTGATTCACAGATGCACCTCTCGGTTATTTGAATAAACACCGTGTCTTTCCTCACTTCACTTCCGTTTGTTAGCTCAAACTATCTGCACCTTTTTTTGTTTCTGATGAGGAAGTACGCTCTGGAGTTGAAATCATTGTCACAAATTGGCCTCATCACTATCACTTAAGTGGCTTGTGGAAGCTGAATGCATGAGTTTTAAGTAACCTCTCTGTGGATCCATTTGTTCAGAAATGACTGCTTCTGAAGGTGACTTCCATTTCTACTGTAATTCTAAGGATAGTTCGTTAATGTCTGTAGGCATTGACCCTTGACAGCAGAGGTGTCCAAAAACTCGCTTCCTGTGCAATTGCTGAAGTTCATCAAGTTCTAGCACCAAGGAAATGGTCACGAGGGCTATAATGTACTGTTAGTTATGCAGCTGATGCCGAATGTGCGAAGCCCTCTTTGGTCTGCTCGAGCAGTTATTTTTTCATCAAAAACTGGTACAGTGACCTAGACTGTTAGAAGCAGAGTTGAAACGTAGTTGCCTTTTTTTACTAAACTGAGCATTGTATAACCTAGTCTTTGTTCTACTACTTTTTTAATGTCTTCTGAAGAATTTCCTCAATGAGCAATTAAAACAGGTGCTTTAGTTCTGTTAATGTGCCAAACTTGGACCATTGTAAGCTTTAAGTACAAGTTTGTGTCCAGCATGTTTGTGATCAGGGGATAGGTGCATTGTGTCCCTGTCAAAGCTAAGGTTTGACGTGCTTGCTTTTGCTTCACTGCGTAGGCTAGAGTGGGAAACAGCGAGCTGGTTGTTACCACAGATAACTGCTTCGTTTTGGGGTGTCAGGTACTGAATTTGTCATCTCTGGGTCTTTTGTATTTTGAAAGTGAACGGGCCAATAGCGTTAGATTTAAAGACTTCAGATTTTAAGAGGTTTAACATTAGTGGCTGGTTCTGTAAAGTTTTAAGTGGTAATCAGCCTGTCCCCACATGTAGTTTAATAGAAATAGTAATTGTAACTAGGTGGTGAATCTCATCAGCTGCTGTTGCTGCACTAAAACAGAAAAATCATCATGGCAACAAGGTTTAGTGAAAAAACAAAGCAACCCTAACTGCTCTGTTGTCTACCCTTGATGTTTTTCTTGGACAGGCTAAAGCAGTTATGTTTTCTGTATGGTTAAAAAAAGTGCTTCTATACAGAAAGTGTTGTGACACCAATTATGAATGTTGTTTATTTTCAGTAATTTACCTCGGACTTATTTGGTGTCGTAATACTTTGATTTTTATCTCAGGGGTTGTCTGCAAACCAAAACTGACATGTTCTGTGTTTGGCACCGTTTACAGAATGCTTTGTATTGTTTTTCCTGTCTTTGCTGTGTGGTTAAATGTTGATTCAATATTAGTCTCCATGAACTTCCCTTTGAAAGAGCCTGTAAGTAGTAGAGTCTATGAAGTGCTTCTTGAAGCAGCAGCGAATTGGGGTATCTGTTCTGTATGGGGGGGTGGGGGAGAAAAAAAATTGCTATTTTCTTACATTTAGCTGTGCTAAACTGTACATAAATGTGAGGTAAGACCATAGGAAATTCACTTTATGCATGATAAAATAAGGCAGTAAATATTTCACTTTGCTTAATGTTCATGTAAAGTTCATCTTTTTCTATTTGTAGAAGAATTTAATGCAATTTTGTTGTCCCCTGCTGAAACTGAAGAATTCTAATTTCATGTGGTCTTATGGATAAGGTAAAATGCAGATTTCTCTCTCTTTCTTTGTTGTTTTGCCCCCACCCCTCTTCTCCAGCAGTATTAAATGGCTGAGTGGCTGCACTTTATTGGGTGTGCTAACTTTGGGTCAGTATAGACCTCTTTCTGTGTACAGTCTGCCCTGTCAGACATCGAACAATGTGCTGTATCTTAGTGTGCAAATCAGCTGTATGTTTTACTGGGAATTGTTTTAGCTGTATTTTCCTTTAGACAAGCGGGTGATGATAAGTGGTATGTTCTGCCTACGCATCAGATGCTGGGTACTACAGGCTTTTCTAATATCCCTATGATTGTTTTGTGCAGTCTCTGTTGCTACATTGCTCAAGACTATATAATCTAAATTTTGAAGGACTTAACTATACCTCAGTCAACTAGTTAGTATTCTAATGTCCATTAGAATGCAAGTCCTATGATTGTTATTCATTAATCAGCAAATGTATTTCTGTTTTGTTCCAGAAATTGCCATTAACCTTTCAGGAAAGGCAGACATTTTTTGGTGGATTTCAATAAAATAAAAGTGCTGCTTGTGCTGTTGAGTTTTATGAAATTTTTCCCTCAGCCCCACGTCTGTGCACTATATCTTGACCAATATTTTTCTAAATGGTTTAAAAAAAAAAAAAGCCAAACAAAAACCAAACTGGTCTCAGTGCTTTGCAATTTTAGCTTTCAGTCTGTGCTTAGCAAAAACATGCACAAGAAGTTTTTGTTGAGTGTATATAGAATATTTGATTTACTTACTGTCTGGAAGTTCTATTATTGCTAAAGTTTAAACCACTCATGAAACTTAACGCACCTCACTTTTCTATTTGGGGGACAGTCTCAAGAATGATAATTGACTTTTCAGACCTGTAGTTCTTTTTACAGAAAGTATTTCCCATTGTAAGTACCTTTCCCATACTAGTCTGCTTAAGTCAAGTGAATTAAGTGGATCATTTTCACAAGTGAATAAAGGTCTTGAATATGCATATCACATTAAAATATTGTGAATGGATAATGGTTTGAAGTACATTATTAATATGAAAAATGCCTAAATGTGTTATTTGTGAAAATGCATCTGTTATTTGGTTATCTATTAATGTAACTGAAATTTTGCAATGTTAAACTTAAGGTCTGTAGGTGATGATAGGTCTTTTTTTCTCCTCCATTCACTGAACTGCTTATGCAATTCTCATTCTTATAAATAAAACTTGTATTTCTTTGTTACACAAAAGCAGGATTTCCATTTATTTTTATTGTTTCTGGTGAATTTAAGTATTTTAGTGCATTCCTATGGCCTTACAAATGTTTTTGCAAATAAAACTTCAATTACAGTTATTTTAATGCTACATAGCTACTAAATTCAGAGTAAAAAGTATAGTCCTTGAGAAAATGATTAATTTTGAAATAGAATTGTTCTACTGTGTGTGTTTAAGCATATTTTATCTGTGGCATAAAGGTGTAATATGAAAAGCTCCTGCAGATAAAAGTGAACTTGTCATGTGGTTAATTTGTGAACTTAACTGTTAATTGTGTGTTGATGTGTATAGACAAAAAACCAAACCCAACCCCTAAAAAAACCTTCACACTCCCATGGTTTTATTATTCCATGTGAACTTTTTTACAACAATGTGTGTCTCAAATAAAAGTTACATAATGAAAAGTATTTCAAGTATTTTGTATGAAATGTTCCACGTAGTTTTCATACAGTTGGCATTTCCACTCTATTTTCGATACATCTGTTGCGGAAAGGCATCCAGCTGAGTTGCATCTGTAAAGCTTTGCTTCACTTCAGTGGCAAACCCACAAGGGTTTTTGTATGGCTTTGCTTGTTCGTAAACTTGAGTGTTCTTTAGATTTTTCCTGAAATATCCTCTCTTCTGCAGTGATTGCTTAAATTTAAGTATATTAGTTCAATGACCTATAGCTTCATAAGGAGCCATTTTTCTGGACATCCAGTGTCATGAAAGACCCTTGCAAAGTAACTTCTGATCAATGGCAGGAAAGATAATGAGACACTATCTCCAATTTGATTAAGAATTATCTGAGTAGATAAGTTAACATTTTCTTTGTTGTTGTTTGAAATCAGCATTATGTGAAAGGTGTGACTCATCAGTAACATAAGGTACATATATAATGCATCAATATAGCAAATACTGTGTGTCCAGCTTACTTCAACACGTGAGGGATTTGACATATTATCATATTAGCAATAGTTCTTGACTTTCAAATTATTGTGGTTTGGCAGTAACTCACAATTTGTATGAAAATAAGCGAGCCTAAGGAAATAATTGGTTTATCTGCTCAAGACAAAAACAGTTTAATGGTTGAGACACCCAACTGGGCACCCTAAGGAATAAATGGGAAAATGCATGGATGACAAGTAGCTTCTAAAATTCATGCTTTTTACATGTTGATCTAATAAACTGTGTTTGGCTGAAGGGATGTATTGTCTGTTTACCTTAAGCAACAGAAAGCTAGAGTTACATTCTTGTTGTTATTTATTGGTTTTGGTTTGTTTTGTTGTGGTTTTTTTCAGACTGCTTCTGGCAGACAAGTTTGCTGCTTTAGGACCAGCTGTTCAAACATTATCTTGCAGATCCCTGTGATCTGAAGTGGTTCTGGATGTTCAGCAGTCCTAAAATCACTTCTGCAAGTCCTTCAGTTCTCACAGAAGTTAGTGGCATACATCTGCATCCCAATAATGCTTTAAATAAATTCGCATTCTCCATTTGTTAGAAGGAAATACAAGCGTACTTCCACTGCTTAACAGTGGTGATTTATTACAGTTCCTGCTCTATTTTTGGTTGCAGACTATCAGTTACTATACAAATACTGCACACTTGTAGACCAGAGGCAAGTACATGTGCAGAATCTATCCAGCTGAATCGCCTTTTTCCTAAATGATTCTTTTTCCAACTTGGTTGACTCGTGGCTCTTTAGAATTCTTTAACTGTACTGAAGTGATCAATATAATGTAAGATTTCAAAATAATTTTTCTTTAGAAAGATTCTAATCTTCAGGAGATACAAAAATGAACCTTTTATGTTGCCTAATGTTATTCTTGTCATTTCGAGGTTTAAAGAAAGGGCATAGAACGGAATGCAAAGCATATTGAAAATAATTTTTAGTGCACTAGGATGTTTTCTAAATGCTTCAATTTTTTTACTGTCTTCCAGAGAGCACATCAGTATTAAGCTTCTTGGGTGAACAAATGTTACATAATTTCCTCTGAGCACGTATTCAGTACATATTGTTCCTTCCATATGTGAAATAAAGTTGTAGATTTTGAGGAGGACATGAGCATTTTCCTTATCTGAGGAATTA